TGAGGGGCATCACCCAGCCAGCCAGCCCACTGATGGGGCCACATAAAAGCTGGAGAGCAGGGCTGCCCTTGAGAAAGCATTTCACAGTGGAAATGGGCTGCAGGAAACCTCATGGGGTTCAGCACAGGAGGGCCTGGGAGAGGAAGGCTAAGAGGATAGCTTAATGATGTCCACCACGGTCTGCATCAGGGGAAACCAGGCTCAAGAGTCTCCTTGGGGGTGCCGAGTGACAGGACAGGAGGCAGCAGACTCGGGATGGGACACTGGGAATTCCTTTTGCCCTGCAAGGGTGCTTAGAAGTTGGAACAGACCCAGAGATACCCAAAACTAAAGGAACATGGTTCCAAAAAATCTGATCCACGCTGGGGCTGGGGTGGGATTGGTGGCTGTTTTGGTAAAGAACACCCTCAGCCTACACAAAGGTGTGATCCCTGGCTGAACCAATCACTGCAAAATGCCTGAGATGAGCAAATAACCCAGAGCAATCCTGTGCTCTGAGCAGACAGGGGCAATTGTAAGCCTGCACAAAACAGGGACACCCAGGTATGGCTCACTCCCTGCTCTGCTCCAGCTGCGGCATTCTCTGTACTGTTGGCTTCCAAGCATCTCCTTCACAACCAAAATACTCCTCCTCACATGGATTATTTTGCAAAGGCTTGTTGCCACCTACATTTTCCACTCCTGTGACCTTTCTCTCTCTCTCCATGACCTCGAAATGGTCAGCAAGAGCAGCTCAGCTGCTTCATAGGAATGACATATTTTCATTCTTCACATCACTAATTAATGTTTTAAATCAAACTTGGGCAGTGACCTACCTATTAAGTCGATGCAGGACATGTGTGCTCAGTCCTGCTCCCTCATGGCAATGCTCAGGACAGTTTTCTGTTTGCTTGGAGCCCGTTCTCCTCTGAGTGGAGCAGGGTCAGTGCCCCTCAGGGCCAGCTGGGAGGTGTCTGCACTGCTCCCGACGACAGAGAATGGTGCAGCAGGAAACAAACAACCTCAAAGGTTGTGTGCCCACACAAAGAAAGAAATGCACACAGATTAACAGCTCAACAAGGAAATATTAAAGGTTCAAAACCCGAAAAGCTGGGTTAGTGCACTAACTCTAGACATAAAATGCTTCTTCTTGTTTCTCATACTTATGGTCCCCGCGCCACAAGTACTGCACTGTCGAGATCCTTTTCTTCCAAACAAAATTCTTTCCTGATGGACACTGATTCTCTATAAATCTTTGAAATATATTTGATTAGGTGCCTCAGGAGCTATGTGCCATGCCTCAAGCACTTCTCTAATGCTCCTGACAAAGCAAGTCAGCAATAATCTCATCATCAAAGCCCAAATCTGCCAGAACTCACCTGTGCTCCATTAGGCAATTCATGCAGGGTGGGAACTGGGCAGCCATTTCCCATTACAAAACAAGAGAAAATGGTCACTTTAGATGGGATCTTGGGCAGCAATTGTTCCCTGGCAGGGTGGGCAGGCCCTGGCACAGGGTGCCCAGAGCAGCTGGGGCTGCCCCTGGATCCCTGGCAATGCCCAAGGCCAGGCTGGACATTGGGGCTGGCAGCTCCTGGGACACTGGGAGCTGGCCCTGCCATGGCTGGGGTGGCACTGGGGGAGCTCTCAGGTCCCTCCTAACCCAAACAAATTCTGTGAAGTCCTTAGCTACAACAACTTAAACTGATCTCACATGTGACACTTCACACCTGAAATCCTTGTCTGAAATCCTTTTGCCCCAGCAAAAACTGACAACAGGCTCTGCAGGTTCGTGACCCTGTCACTCCTGCAGGACCAATGCACACCTGAGATAAACATCAAAACCAAGAGGGAGCAGATAACACGAGGAATGAGTTACAGAATTATTTTACTAATAAGATTTGCTGCAATGCAATTGAAGACCTGCATGCTCATCTTTCCCCTGCAGTGCCTCTTACAGTTTGCCTTCAGCCTAAGGTTTAATTAAAAGATTAAAGACTTAAACAGTCACTTAAACTGCAAAAAGGCCTGGGGGAAACACCAAAATGCATACAGAAGTCCTACCAAGCCAAATCTTCCAAGAGGGCATGGAGTCACCTACTGCCCAGCCTACTGCTGATGGCTGATACCACATTTTTAATTCACCCTAAATTATTATAGAAACATATTTGGCTCCTAATGAGAAAATATCAGTCATATTACAGTAATAAGTCTATCAGTAAACAAGGGTCATGAAAGTATTTTTAGTTTTTTTATATCCACACACTGTTCAGGGAATTCAGGTGAACCCAGCAGAGTGGAAAAAGAAGTTGGTAAATTATGCCAGTTAATTTTTAGCTTGTTTTATGTGTATCCTGCTTTTTTTTTTTTTCCCCTGTAGATATGAAGAATTTACTCTTTTCTTGACGAAATTGACGGAGAGAAATAAAAGAAATTAGTAATACTGAAAAGATTAGAGCACTCTCCTTTGCTGATCCCTCTGCCCAAGGAATCTGTACCTGTGCTGCTGCCTGCAGTTTCAGCCTGTTCTTTCTCCTTTGCTCTGTGAAATGCAGCAGTTTTTCAAAGTACAGCCAATACTGCAGAAAAGACTATCCAAACACAGGAGGATAACCCATTCTTCCTTTGCTCTTTCAACCATAGAAACTACAACTTTGTGATCTGAAGACACAACCTTAGGTGAAGTGCTGTGCAAATCAAGTTTAAATTCCTTAATTTCCTCACTATGGGTTTCTGAAAAAATAAAAAAGTACATTTCCCAGTGAGAAAACAGTGTTTTCTGTTTAACAGGCAGCCACCAAAAATCAAACCAGGTAAAATTCTTGTGCTATCCTGACAGTGCATGTGTAACACTCCTACTCGAGCCACGTTTCTCAGATTGCCACTTTGATAAAAGAAAAACAAACAGCAGCTTTGCAGTGTAAAACAGCCAAATAAAATAACTGACCACAGCCCTTAACCTTCAAAGGTTCATTCAGGCACTTAGACGTTTAATAAATACAAAGCAATCAATATCTGAGTTGATCCAGCAACAAAAGTTGATGGAGCAGCTTATTTAAGCTCTTGTTAAATATCCTGAAGGAACGACAGCTGTGAGCTGTGGAAATGACATCCATGCTGGTCAGCTGAACAGGCTCACAAAAGGGGTTGCTGCCCTGGTTGCAGCCATCAGAATCCAAAAATATTTAAGATTCAATATAGCACAGATAATCATTTAGCACTGACAAGAAAGCAGAGCAGTAAATGCTAAGCAACCTGCTCATCTTATGGAGAATAAATCAAAGTGAACCACCTGCACAGGAGCCTCGTAGTTTTGCAGATATAACATCATTTAAGAGGGAACAAGGCCTATTTTTTCTTTCTCTCCCCAGGCTTGCATTCAAACTAAAATAACCAGGAAAAGTCACCCTGACACTCTGCCAAGTAGTATTAACTACCCAAACCATACAGGCAAAATAGAGTGAACAAAGATAACATCAGTTTTGTGTGTGCACAACCAAAGCTTCTGATACCCCTTCAGCAGGCAAAACCTCCTTTTGGGGGTATGAGGATTTTGAACATATGAACACTATGCTGTGTTCATACAATTTGCTGTTCCTAAGGGGAAAAAAATATTTTTTTTTTTTTTAAAAAAGCAAAAATTGATGCAATTCTTTGCACTGCTGCTCATAACTCACCTGGTGCCCAGGTACAGGGGAGCTCCCAGCCCAGTAATGTCAACCTGCAACAAATCCCAAACCAGTGCAAATTTAAATTGGTGTTGCCTCTGCCAAATAAGTGATATTTGAGGTAAACGCTGTCTGATTTATCAGGAAGGTGTCCTACACCCTTTTCCACTGCCGGCAAAGCTGGATGTTAAGGATGGCTGATCCTGCCTAGACACACATACAGACAGAATTCCGCTTGGAAAAGACAGGACGGCACATTCAGGGCTTCACCAAAGCAGAAACAGAGCAGGCTGCAGCAGCAACCCCAGGCTGTGGCTGAGCTGAAACTAAATACACCAGCAAAGGGAGTGTTTTTATTTTTAAAAAGACATACTGGTCCGTTCTGGTTTTCTTTCCTGTTTTTTAAGCAGCGTTCATCAGTTATTTTTATTTGCAGTCAGCGCTAATTCCCGTTCCAGCCCTGCTCGTCCTGCCTGGAGCAGTTCCACACACGCTTTGTGCAGACCTCCCTCTAGCGGGCTCAAAACCCCGGGAAATCGGAAAAATCCAACTCCTCCAGGGAGACCCAAGTGCTAGGGATAACTCCTAGAGCAAGGACAATATTCTGTATATATTTTACACAGCGTGTGTATAATGCATATATACCTTTACAACATCAGCCAGGGACCGTCGCGGGGGTCTGGGGGAACGCGGAAAGCACAAGATTCAGCAGCCTGACGTGATGGGGCGGGGGAAGCAGTATTTGGCTCGTAAACATTTATTTCGGCTGCTGAGTGGCCTCCTGCGGGAGCACAGCCCCGGGGACTGTCCCGGTCACCGCCGAGGCTCAGGTCAGCCCTCAGGTGAGACCTCACCTGCAGAGCTGCTGCTGCTGAGGGACGGGACCCCAGACCCTGTGCTGGGCTGGGCAGGAGGAGCAGCCCCGGAGGAGCCCTGGGAGCCCAAAGGTGCCGGGCTGGGCCCCAGCGTGGGCAGCAGGGCAGGGGGGATTGTGCCCCTCTGCCCCTCAGCTGAGACCCCACCTGCAGAGCTGCCCCAGCCCGGGCCCGGCACAGGGAGCAGCTGGAGCTGCTGGAGCCGGCCCAGAGGAGGCTCCAGGATGAGCAGAGGGACGGAGCAGCTCTGCTGCCAGGAAAGGCTGCCACAGCTGCCATTGCTCAGCCCGGACAGGAGAAGCTTTGGCCTCAGCTCCCTGTGGCCTCGCAGGGCCCGAAGGAGCCGCAGGAAAGGTGCAGAGAGACAATTGCCAAGGGCTGCGGGGCCAGGAGCCAGGGAATGGCTGCCAGTGGCAGAGGGCAGGGCTGGATGGGATC